GTGTCAGATATCTTATATACGTCTACTATATATAATACGTCTACCATATATCTTGTTTACATGTAATATACATACTTTATCCACATGGAATATATATTAAATGAAAGTTGAATGTTCAAAAATACATATACTGTATGTTAACGGCGCGGACATTTGTACATGTCCTAGCACATTCCGTATACTTATGTATACATTACACATCTGAATGTTTGAGCCAGATATCCTATATACGTATACCATATCTAGTTGTCCGTGTGGTAGATTTCTTAGTTCAGAATCAGAAGTGAAATTTTCTATAAAAAGTATCCCAGTTCTTTTTGAACTATAAAAACTAGTTAAAAATTGGTTCATTTAATTCGATTTTTCTCTCGGTGCATTTAGTTCAACGTAACCCATCGTTTAAACAAATTGTAGTTGAGGACTTTAAGTTTGAGGAAAATAATAATTCCTACTTGAGTTTAACATAAGAATAAGGTTGAACTATCTTTATTCGAACAAATACCTTCACGACGTCATTACATATCGATATGGGCGAGGATGAAGAGCTACAATCAAATATTAGGCGGACCCGAAAGAAATCCATTATTTTTATGATTTAAGTTTGGGGCAGAAGTAATGAATTTTATTTCATTCCCCCAAATACATGAACGATCAAACAATAAAGTCAAAATACTTTTAAACATTATCGTATGGTTTTGATGAGATTCTTACAAAAAATTAAATGGAATTATCTTATTAATAGTAATGTACCATCAGAAATAAAGAAGACCTATGAATCATTACCAAGGAACATTGATACTCGCACACATTTTGCTACTGAATTATATTATACACTCACTCTCCCCGGTAAGAAGGCTGGAATTGATTGGAATTGAAAATTTTAATTCCAGTGAATACCTAATTTTTTCTTTGCCCTTTATTCCATTGGCGATAAAAGAAAAAAGCAAAATCTAATTCCTGTCAATTCACTCTGAAAAATAGAGGGGAACGGGGTTCAAAGAAATTAAAAAATATGAGAATAGGAATAGAGAAAAGGGACATGAATCTCAATACTATCTGTAGAATTGAAACAAATTTTTTATTTCCACGGAAAAAAAAGGAAAAACGAAAAAAAAATTCGATTTTTATGATTACGTACGTTATACTTATGTTCCTGTCAGTGATCTTATATATTTCTACTTTAAGTAGTAAAATAATATTTGATGCTCAAATGGTGGCTTCTCGTTGATAACTTTCCTTTTCCCTCTCCTTCCAGAAGATGTAGAGTGATTGTAACATAAATGTAAAGAATAATAACAGATCTTATATGCAAACGAGCTGTCTGCATTGTCTGCGAGAAGTCTGGCCACCTGGTGGTTCTGTCGAAACTAATGGTGCCAAACCATTGTTTCCGTAATTACATAAACAAATTTACAGTAATATTGCAATATGTAAAATCTTACTATAATTGTGGTTACAGCTACCAGATAAACCTACTATCTTATTATAGTTATTATAATCTCTTCATATAGTTAATATTACCTTTTTGAATGTTGATTACTATTACACCATTTAAACGCAGCGCCATGGACACAGTACCCATTGGCAAGGTTACGTTTACCATTCCATTGGTCAATTTCACCATTTGTGCGGTTTCATTTACCACAGTAATTACCCATGTCGCTATAGTCATTATAATCAAATTATTTTTTTCCGTGTACCCGCATTACAGGCGTTACTGATTAATGCGTAAATTACAATGGTAATTTTTTACTATTCTTTCCAATAATACCTTCACCTCACTTTCACATATAAAAAATGTGAAATTTTATGTTTATTTAATTGTTACTTCTTAAAATGCATGAGGTTAATCAAATTTACATTTGGAATTCAGGAGAATACAATGCATATGAAACGAATTTCAAATATTGGAGTTCAACTATTTAATCTCCCGGGCATATAAAATGGAATTGATTTAAATTAGAAGTTACAAACTTATATTCCAAAAAAGGGATTCAAGGCAATTGAATGCACAAATTTTTTAAATGAACTGAAAGGAATCAGGCATTCCTATAATGTATTCCTCTAAACGGAATACAAAACAATTTAATACCGATATTGTTTGCCGTACTAGAAGGAATTACACAAAGAAGAAATATATTCCTCTTTTCGGAATTGAACAAAAATCAGAGTGCACAAGGGGAATAGAATATAATTGGTTCATAGAATATATATTCCTGTTGTGGGAATTGGACTTGGAGAGAAAAGACAGGTATTAAATAGAATAGAAAAATCATCACTTTTACGTTGAAACTGTGTGACATTGAATCCTATTCTATTTAAGCCTTTTTACCGGGTCAGTTGTTCTATCTTGTTGTACTCCGACTGCATGTAACGATTATGTTGTCTTAATGATCACACTATCTCAGTAAGTCATTCGAAGATCCTTATTTCTGTTACGTTTCATGGAATCGTCCTTCTTTGATTACAGAAACGGAAGAGCTAGCGGCTGACGAAAATTCCGAGCAAGATTTTTCTAAAAGCCAGAAACTCGTACTTTGTGGGAACAATGAAGTCGTTCAATCAACCAGCGATCAGGCACAACAAACCACACCTGGTAAATATCGGAGAGTTCGTCTTCTATAATATTATAATATCGAGTACTATGATGCATAATACTTTCTTAGTGTTTTACCTCGCTAGTTCTTGCTTTGCCGCCTGCATTAGGTTTAACTGCAGCCATGAACAGTATCTCCATAGCGTTTTAAAAGGATATAAAAGGCGCTAAGAAATTTTACCGACGTCGATAAAGTAAAATTCATCAGTACTTTTTTTTTTGTGGTAATGTCGTTTTGAATACTCAAGTGGTAATATACGCTGGCGCGTCCCATTATCGACATTTATGTTTATGTTGAAGTCTTTTACAGTCTATGTTGAGAATTATATGAACAGAAGGGTTCTATATATCATTTCGGTAATGTAATGATAAAAAGATTGATGTAAAACTGCCGAAATCCCATGAATTCACGACTGTTTATATTTTGACGAACCAACGTCGCCATCTGTGACGTTTAGTTGCAACTAAATTTTTGCTTTAAAAACACATATTAGCCGCGGGACAAGCCAGAATTCTTTTGCAATCGTTGGTGAAAGTATTTACCACATTATCTCTTCGGACTTTGTAATATTCCATTTCTACGGTATTCTGAATTGTTCGAGCTAGGTACTGAAACTCTTCATTTTCGATTCTAAGCCTCAAAGAAGCGTAATATATCGAAAACGTGCACGGACCACGCCATGTTGGTTTCAGTCCATGATAAGTAAATCAATTTTTAATGAAAAATGATATTTCATGAGTTTCAGGACCTACTTTAGGGCTTCCATATTCACGTGGTAGAATTTGAAATGAATTGGTACACCCAATTTGGAGAATACTTTCCCCCAACGATTTGACTTCTCAGATATACCCAGTGAACACTGTTATATAACTGTTGGGTAAATGTTACGTTGTCGAATCTAACATGTTATGTAGCATAAAAGTAACATGGAAGTTAGATGTTAGTTATTATTTCCCACTCGGTAAGGTAACATGTTATGTAACATGTTACACTTTCAGTTACCTTAAAATAATGTTAATTCTTCATACATTTAAAAAAAATCACGCAATTTTATAAAAAATTATATAATTTTTATTTTTAATTATTTGTTGGTACTTGACAATAGTTAGATATTAAATGACAGACCAGACTTTCAATGACATTATGTAATGATAAACTATCTGATTTTACTTAAAGACTATTATGATTTCATTCGACTAGCAAACAATTACTGATAATGTATACGAGCGTACGAATTAAAATCACATTTTTTCATACGAGTAGTAAACAAAATATGACATATATTAATCTTATGACATTTGACGATGAATTATGACAATAACGATGACGATGATGTAATAAAATAGATGACAGCACCAATGTAGTTCCGTTTTGCTAAAAATATGTGCTCCATATACACAGTGATATGAGGACAGTAACATAATGTAAGATAAGAGTAAGAAAGTTACGCTACATGTATGTAGATATGACACTAACAAATGTTATGTAACCTGTTAGCTCCGTGTTACATAACTGTTAAGTTACTGCATTGTAACAAATGGCATGTAACTAGTTAGCTCTATGTTACGTAACTGTTAGGTTATTATATTGTAACAAACGTTATGTTATTTGTTAGTTTTGCGTTACGTAACTGTTAGGTTTGGTGTTCAGTGGGTATATAGGCTGACTCTTTCATATCCTCTTAACTACTTGATGTCCTCGTACCATGCCGACGCGGTACTCTAAACATACACTGACGAGCATACTTTCTTTTGCAGATATACATCAACGTTATTTAGTAGAAACAATAACAATGACGACAGTGACGGAGCGGCGAATTGTCCGTGAAATAAGTGAAGAGGAATCCTCTGTGATGAACGAGGTCAATCGTGTGGAGAAAAGGGAACGGTCTCTTGACGAACCGAAGAAGGAGGTTCGGTCAATCGAGGAAAAAGAGGGAAATTCCGTGAGATTCGACGAGGCGTCTTCAGCATCTTCGTCGTCGTCATCATCATCATCGTCGTCGTCGTCGTCGTCATCGTCGTCGTCGTCGTCGTCGTCAGCGGCGGCGTTGTCGGCGGCGTCGTCGGTGTCATCATCGGTGTCGTCGACGTCGGTTAAGTCGACTGTCGGTTCTTCGACTCAGCAGGGAAGCTTGAGGGATACACCCGACGTAACGGAGGTTTCTTTGACGTTCAAACTGGGCAACGTGTCTTTGGTAACTAACAGCTTGAAGCCAAATTCCGCCGTGCGACAACTTTTTCCCGATCCACGGTTCATATCCCCACCACCGGCGCCGACGAAGGGAACGATTGCGACGATGGATACCTCAGGGGACGGTATGGACTCGGATGCCCAGAAATTTCTTGTAACTACCGAAAGTTTGCGTCTGTTTGATGCTGTCAAACGGTCAAAGATAGCAAGCAGCCGGAGCGATTCTTCTGAGAGTGAGTCCTCAGGAATGAAGAAAACAACAATCGAACGAAACGCCCTCAGGAGAAGTCTCGTGTGCAAATACGATTCTAGCTCGAGAAGGAATAGTCTACGAACGAAAGATCTAACCTTAGAGGAGAGGATCAGACAGCTGACGTGCGTGGACCAGGACGAGCAGGAAGTAGAAGATGGCACGTCCGAGAATACGATGGCTGTCGATGCTAATGAAGCCGGGGAAACCAGCGAAAGCTGCCATGCGGAAATGACGAATATCGCTGAGATTGAGCAATTTCCGGAAATGGCGGATTGCATGGACTTCCCCGTACGGACCTCACCTTCCGGGGAGGAGCGACCTAAGGTTGCTGATCTCACGGTTCGAACATCGAACTCCCAAGAACGTGAATCTGCGAGCTGCTCCGTCCAAGGGAACGTGCATCACCAGTCCACATACAGGAAACTTACGGATCTCTTTGCTCAAAAGAAGACAGTTGAGGGCAACTTACCGGATCTCGCAATCGGGAACAAGATGATGCAGTCAAAGGAGTACTCCTTGAAAACGTCGGTCATCAAGATGAATTCCGACGCTCGGAAACAGTTCCTTGCCAGCTTGGCGCCGTTATCTTGTGTCGGTTCCACTGGCGAGAATCGAGAAGATTATTATCAACTCTCAACAAAAGCGAATAACGGCGGGAACCGAGATTCCACGAGTTGCAATTCGGATTCGTCGTATAGTGTAGAGGATATAGAAGAGGGGCTGCGGGGGGAGGAACGAAATCGTAAGAATGGTTCGGGACCCGGGCCGGGTCCGCCAGATGTTACCAGGGGCACCCCGATTGGCACGGGTCCGGATTGTGCGGACACTACTGACGAGCTTCTCGCCTTTGTAGAGCAGGACAAGTCTAGAACAGAACGAATCAAAAGGCGTTACAATGACGTCGAGGACCGTCATGAAAATGTTAGCAGCGAAAGCGATGTACACCGTGGAGATGGGGATGACGGCGACGATGACGACGAATTGAACGATTACGGTTTTAACCGGCGACCATCCGTTCGGGGGATCAAGACTCAATTTGACACGACCCAGGAAATCGTCCATCAACTCAGATCTCGTGGAGCTGCACCTAATTCTTTCCCTAGTCCGCTCACCTGGCCCTGTCCTGAGAAGAATGGCGAGATCCTGTTTTCCGAATGCAACGAGGAGGACTCGAAGACTTGCGGACCGCTGGGTGTTAGTGGTGACGCAAATACAATAAACAGGATAAACACTATGCAAAAGCAGATCGATGACATCTACCAAACCATAGCGGAGACTGCGGCGAGTGTACAGGGCACCTTGGATCGAGGAACTTGCGTAGACACAGACTCACCCAGACCTCTGATTCGCGTCCCTCTGATGGACGGGTGTCAGCGGTTCGGCGACGTTAAGAACGTTCTGAGATTCCAAGACGGACAGCAATTGACGCCGCCCAGGACGTTACGGGTTGCTGGTAACGGAGACGGCTCTCTGGGGCCGATGTATAATAGCTTACCCGCAAAGGCCCGACGTGCGCCGAGTGTTCCAGCTGCGCCGGGTGTACCGCAAGCCGCGCAAGCAATGGCTATCTCAAACTATCACTACGGCGTGGTGCCGCCTTCTGCGGACACTAAGTGCTACAGAACCATGTATTTTGTACCCTATAACGGCATCTCCGACCCCACCTACCAGAACATTCAAAGGATTCTGCCTCACATGGCGCCTCATACCTCGCCATCCAACTACGCAAATCACATTGAACGGTACCCCTATTCTCGAGGAACCAGACCATTGGACCAGCAGACTAGGTTTCGTCGACCACCCGCACCCCTGCCGCAGCTCCATTCACAGCTTCATACGCAGTTGCACTCGCAGCTGCATTCGCAACCTCTACATCTGCACCTCCATCAAACCGAGGAGTTCCGAGTTCCGGGGGCGCCGATATCAATTCCGCGCGGAATTCATCCATTGCACCACGCGCAACATCAGCACCATCAGGTAACCCCCTACAGTGCACAGGCTATTCCTGTCTACTCTGTGGTTACACCCACTAGGGTGTCCGCGCCTGTAGGTGGTTACTCCTACCAGTCGCATCCAGGGCCTGGCGGCCGAGGGGCAACGGACGTGCAGACTCAGACAATGTCTTTCCCGGCTTGCGCCTCTCTCGCTGTCTATGACGCGGCTAGTGCGTCTCCGTCCTCTTCCTCGCCCACGAAGCACCAACAGCAGCAGCGCACAAGCGCCTGCACTGTCGCAGAACGTGGCGTCCCCGAGGGTGCCGTTAGTGCACCCTCACACGACTTCTTACGGAACGGCCCCATCACCACCTCTCACTCAGCCGTCGACTCCTTCTTGGACCAACCGGGTAACCTGCCGCCTCCGAACACACAGAACTCTGTTTATTACGCCATGAACGTCTAATCTTCATGGCATAGGCTTTGTCTTGGCGACGCGCGATGTGAACGGTAGCTAACAAGTATGGTATTTTACACTGTTTGAACGGAGTGGAGTTAGAAAACGGAACGTACCCCTTCTAACCACCAATGGGTATTTCGAGTTCTAAGTATTCCATACACAATACCAAGTACTTAGCTGTAGTTTTGTGAGTCATTATCGACGAATCCACACCGATTGCCTATTCGTCCAAACCACCAAATAAACTATACCCTTATCGCGCTTTAAGAAATTTGTCGTATTTCCACCATTTTTATATACAACATTTTGTAACATCCAAACAATATTTCCTGGTGACCATCAAGTTTTAATGAAATATCCACACCTTGCTACATATCGAGTGTACACCATTGACATCGATCGGATTTTTTTCTCGGAGAGGTTGTATACAAATTAATGGAAATATTTCTCTGAAATTTCTCAACGGTGCGTGATGCATTGCCAAACGCTGCTTCTTGTAGCATTTGGTTTCGTCGTAAATTTGACTAGATGATTCCTGAAATTCGGTAGTTTGGATTGGTTAAGCTTTCGGTATTGAGTAAATAAGTAAATAATGGAGCTTATGAGGAATCGTGCCCCGTACACGAACTGCGACGATAAAAGCCGAGGAAGTTTTTAATCGTTAGTGTTGTGCCAAATGTAGGCCAAATGATGTACGTCAAAGAACCGCAGTTTCGCAACCGGTGGATCGAATATTTCGATTCTACGTCAGGGTATACGTTAGGGAATTAATGTCATGCGTTAATTGATGCGCCTTTAAGGCGATATGAATGTGGCATTTGAAGGATCATTTGTTGGTGAAACTATCCGCCGAACTGGGTGTACCGAATCGTTTCAAACTTTACCACGTGATCGTGGAAACCCTGAGGAAGGTCCTGACACCCATAAAATTTCATTTTCTTAGTGAAAAATTAAAAAAATATCTCAACAAATTTTGGAAAAATCGTAATTTCATGAACATCAGGGCCTTCCTTACAGCCTCCATATTCAAGTTGTACAATTTAAAGCAATTCAGTGTACCCAGTTCGGAGAAAAGTTTGAATAACAAGACCTCCTTGACGCCACATTTATATCACCTTAACGAAAGTCTTTTATGATCATTGCTGATGAAATAGAGTGCCCACAAAAAGGATAAGAAAACTTAAGAGATTTCATACATAACAAGGAACGCGAAGTTGTGCTTCTGGAGAAGTGTCTTTTGTATTAAAGAAACGTTTCCTTTTCCATAATATCATTACTTGATGAAATTATGCGATCATGAATGGAGTCAAGAATTTTGATGTAAAATCAGTGGATGCCATTTACATTGTAACGTAAGTTGCGTAAACGTTACTGTATGCGGTCCGAGAAAGTATGTTTTTGGGGATAAAGAAAGAAATTTCGGCTTACCGTATTAAAAATTGTTTCTCTTAGTGTAAACATTTACAATGTAATGCAATTGATAATATCAAGCGTAATTAACACTTGTTGACACAATGCCACTGATCATCGACTTACAAAATTATGCAGGGGTGGAAGACGTTAACTGTTATAGATGCGACTTTTTATCTGATATTAGCACTGCCAACGATTCGTTGAGATACGGCAGTCTCGTACACGCGTCATTACACGTGTATATTGGCGGACATGAATGATTTCCTTGTGAATATGTCCCAATATGGTGTACCAAAGTAAGAAAAGAAAACATTCGTGTCCGTCAAAGTGCAAGACCGTGGTTAGGAGAGTCTATATATTGACAGGCTCGATATATTAGCTGGGATATAATGTGCCTACATGGCATTTCAAATGAAACACCTTGTACATCTCAATTTGATCTACCAAATAGTCAAGGAAGGCAGTAAATGTTTATTTGTGGATTAGAGTAAGTATGTTGTTCATCATGTATTTGTTATTGAAGTTTAAACTATGTACGCATTATATTCCGATTACCTTATATGCCAAAAAAGTTATGTATATACATACATGTGTAGATGAATTTAGAACATAGATGTTTCTATGGTGAATCTTTAACCGGTTCAGGAAAGCTCTGAATATAATAGGCGAGATCTCAAACACTAACAAGGAAGGTACCTGAGGTGTCCCCCTCCGATTTTGTTCATTTTTAAATATGTTATAGAGGACTAAAATCTAAGGGACCCGTGTTTTTTTTTATCTGCGGATAAACAATTTTAGGGGGTGAAATCAGGCTTCAAGGTTGGCTGTGCAATGAGGTGAGTTGGCTGTTTCATATATAAGCACTCGACCGATTTTCATGAAACAACCGTCAAAACGTAGGGGATGAAGAATTATGAAACATGCATTTGGAATTTTTCGAAAAAATCCATTTTTAAGGGGTGAGCCACCCCTTTGAATACTTCTTTTACCCCTTACGCGAGCAGTAATTGCTCTATCCAAATGAAACTTGTGTAATTTATAGACCAGAACAATACAAAAAAAGTTTCATTTGGGTAGAACTATTACTGCTCGCGTAAGGGGTAAAAGAAGTATTCAAAGGGGTGGGTCACCCCTTAAAAATGAATTTTTTCGAAAAATTCCAAATGCACGTTTCATAATTCTTCATTCCCTACATTTTGACCATTGTTTCATGAAAATCGGTCGAGTGCTTCTATATGAAACAGCCAACTCACCCCCTTGCACGGCCAACTTTGAAGCCTGATTTCACCCCCTAAAAGTGTATATCCGCCGATAAAAAAAAACACGGGTCCCTCAGATTTTAGTCCTCTGTAACATATTTAAAAATGAACAAAATCGGAGGGGGACACCTCAGGTACCTTCCTTGTAAGTCGACACTATTCAGACATTGTCGGCTCCAAGTGTTCGAATTATAAGATCAAGCGTATTAAGTTAAGATAATTAAGAATAAGTTAACTTTCAAGCCAACAATTTCCTTAAAACCAAAGTCATCCCCACGAATCAATATTTATTCCACTTGCGAGAGAGAAAGGACTACCGTTATCTTGCGCGAATATGATGTGCACGGGAAAACGTCAAATCGCCAGAATGTCAGATCGGTGAGTTTAGTTTAATCTATGAAACAGTAAATTCAGTTAAGCCCCAGTTAAACCAAAGTAAGGCGAAAATGCGAAGTACACAACGAGTGATGACTATCGTTGTTGTCCAACTTAGAGAGATAAATAGAATGAGAAACCGTTAATCAACATAACGTTACGTAGTTTGGTGTGCACTCTATAATGAATATCGATACAAGTTGTTTGCCGTGCACTTCCTTCTGCATATTTTTTTACCAATAATGGAATTTTCGAGAATCAAAGTGTGTCCAAGAATTATGAGGTACAATAGGTAATTGCAATTGCATCCGTTACTTGAACGGCTTTAACAATCCGATTAAATTTGACTCAGTCCAAGCAATTCTCCTGCTCGATCGAATAATCTGCAACGATTTCGTTATTTCTTTATAGAGTGCAATTTTGTAGTTAACGCTGAGTAACTTTGATATTCGTGACTTCGATCGACAATCAAGTGTCATTAATTGAGCAACTAAATTGTTAATTGTGCAATTAAGGGCGCTCACCACTCCAGCGATTTTGCAGGGCCTCACGGGGACAACGATTCCGAACGTATTTCTAAACCGATCGAGCTTAACGAGTGCTCATATCGAAGATGAAACGTTGACCTGTGTTTATATGGGAGCGATTTTCGATAAGTGGTCATTATCATATAAAAAAGTGCAACGACATAATTTCAATGCCCTTTTACCTAGGAAGGAGATGCTCGATCGAAAATCGCTCCCATATAAACACACGTGAACATTTTATCTTTAAAACGAGCACTCGTTGAGCTCGATCGGTTGAGAAAAACGCATGCGACGTAATCGTTGTCCCCGTGGAGCACCTTTTTCAGGATTTTCAAGTTTCTCGCGAGGAATTTGGGCATTCCTTAGCAACCGTTGCCGACTCTAGGCGGAGCGTCCAACTTGCGTGTGCGTGCGGCCGAGGGTCACACACGTTTCGGCGCCTAGTCCAGAGGCGTCTAGCCGTTGTGTGAGTTGTATACGTGCAAAATACGCACACATTTTTCGCCCGTTGCTAAACACTGCCCATTATGTGTCGCGTCTCCCTCATCCGAGCGAGAAAGTACGTTTTGGTTACCTCCCACCGAATTCGATGCTAGTGCCATCTAGCGGTGGAAGTTATCGTCCCTACTTGGTGGTGAACGCCGTTAAGACTTTGGAAGACAACGACACGGTTGACCGTTGTCACGAAGAATCGAACTTCGCTGGAAAGAGTCACGTGTTGCGCGAACGGGCTCGATAGTTGAGGAAGCGAATGATTTCAAGATCTTGAGGAAACTGGGTAATGAGTTTCTGTTGGAAAATGATTTCTCAGCGAATACGCAGTTCGGGACTAGTCGTCAAAGGTCGTGTATTTGCGTCTCGGACAGAATTTCATGGATTTGTAAATATATCAACTGAGTTGTTGTAGAATTTCGTGGATGCACCGTCTAAAGGATTGGTATGCATGTAATCTCTGCAAGTTTGTATCGAGACGTTGCCTTTTACCGAACTAATGGATGTAGATTTCTAGATCTCTAATGGCGATAGAGGTGAATCTAATCGCTTCGACGAATTTTAATGCCGTTCAAGGTCGGTCAAAATTCAGTCGATTCGATCCAATGAACTTGGCACTGAAGTTCGATTAACCCTTTGACTGGCTAAAGGCGTTCAGAAAGAAGCGCAGCCGTGGTACAAATTTCTTACCGCTGCGCTGTACGACTGGCATGATATTGTTTCTGAGCGCTCTCTAGTCAAAAGGTTAAATGCCTTTTATTGGAATTAACTTGAACTTCGTGCAATAATGACTAATTTAAAATCAAGCGGTGGATTTAGTTGCAGGTCGGCGAGGACTTGAGTCGATGATGCTCCAATAAATTGATTAAACAGTTGATTCAGGTAAATTAAATTTGCCGAAACAGCGATATTTTCATTTTTGCGCGCCGCGCCATTGCATTCGGTCGATATCCTCTTTATGAAGGCAACCATTAACAAGATTGTAACCAAAGTTGTAATATTGAGCGTTATTGTGATGTAGATTTTAATTTATAAAGTAGATAAGTTTTATCTAGGCGGTAATGAGATTCGTATTTCACCCCATGATATCATGTAGCATTGAGAAGGAATTCCGGAAAAGGGGAATGAGCTTCAAGTGACACATACATAATTTAGTTCTATGTCAACCCAGTCAATTTATAACGGAACTTCACATTGGAACACGAATAGTTGAAGAAATTAAGGTAAATATAATTGCATTGATAGATTCATTGCATGTCCGATAAGAGTAAGATATTGAATTTTCCCCTTTTCCGTAAATTTATAGAATAACGCTGGTATTTTCTTGCTGCGTAATCTTTATTTCTTATATACAAACCTACCAAATATAGAACACTGTCTTGCAATACATGCGGAAAAGATGAGTAGATTTCGTTAACGACACGCATTGCTGTAATACTTTGTACACAACACCACTCTTAGCAGTGCAGTGGATGGTAAAAAATCAACAGGTAATTATTCGAATTCAGAATGAATTAACGCTCGCGCAAGGGTTCTTTTGGCACCAGATATTAGTAGCTTCTCTTGGCAATGCGTCGTTGACAGAATCAATTATTTCTTTCCTCGTGAAGCTTTGGAATTGCTCGTGAACGAACATTCGGTTCCTGATCAAGAATTTTGTATAAATGTGTACTTCAGAAGGCCGGTATATGTACATGCTAGTTGCAATTAGCCAGCTCGATCATGTTGCGGGTATCCACTAACAAACCCGAAGTAAAGAATCAGACGTCAAAACCATTTATATTTATACGAACACGTCGGTCATTCACATCACTACTT